ATTTGGCTTTGTTTTCAGAACACCTGACCCATGCCGCACCTCCAGGACATCAATGATTACGTCCTGGTTCCTGACTCAGAACACCTGTACTCTAGTTTTCCCTGATGCGAAGAAGTCAAATACCTGACACACCCTCATTCTGACAGATGCTCTATTTCTTACTTGTCAAATCCCAAAATGTCTCAGACTCTCACTAGTTTCTATTTCTCTAGGGAAGGAATCATTTCAATAATCATCATTACATTTCATTATATACAAAATATATAATAAACATACACTAACAGGCAGGTTGGTCTCTAGTGCAATCATATGCAATTATGACAACACTGTTTTCCCTTATTTTCTGAATTTGTATGTGTAATGACCAAGAACTTCACTGAAGATTGAAGAAAGTGTGTGTCAATGTAGCAGTGGTAGAATTTTAGATTCCTCCCCACCCCCCAAAAAAAAGGAAAATACATTTCACTAACAATTTCAGAGATTTTAGGTCCCTTGAAACCTGGAGTTGCATTGAGAGGGCAGAAAGACACATTAAGAAAGGAGAAGAGTACAAAACTTAACAGCAATTTTTAAAAAAAGTTATATTGACTCTGTATTTTATCATCTACTTACTAAAAGTAGTACCAACATTAAAAATATTCACAATACACAAAATATTTTGAATAGTTCCTATGAATCTGTAGAAACAAGATCTGACTTGTAGGAGGAGGAACAATTATAGAGAAAGGAACTTCTTTCGACGTTCCATTTTCCCAACTCTGTGATATGACCAGAGCTTCATTTCCTCTTTTTTCTTTATCTCAACCTTAAAAAATTATGGATTGCAGTTTTGACATGAAAAAGAAGAAAGTCAAAGAAACTTCAAAGTACATGCCTTCATGAATTTGCTCTCTCTTATTTCCAAAGGATTGAAGAATACTGTCTTGGTATTACTGCTCCACATTTGTTGGCTTTTGATTCTTTCCCAGGAAGCAGAACCTATCAGTTCCCATGCCGTATTTCTATGGTACACAATATCTTCACATCACTACAGGTATACATTCCAAACCCAAAACCAAACCCACTGCCATGCAGTCGATAGCGACATACAGTGAGCCTACAGGGCAGAGCAGAACCGTCCCCACGTGCTTTCCAAGGCTGTAAGTCTTTCCAGAAGCAGACTGCCACATCTTTCTCCCAGAAAGTAGCTGGTGGGTTTAAAATGCCAACATTTCCATTAGCAGCCACGTGCTTTAACCACTGCACCACCAGGACTCGCTGTATAGATTCCCATTTTACTTAATCTACTTGATAGTTTTAGATTTCATTTTACTTCCATCTCTTATACCAAGTAACAATTTTTTAAAAAAGTTCTATCTTGTGCCAATGTAGACAAGTGTCAGTTGTATAAATACGTTTATTTCTCCTATCAATAAAGTAATGAAAATGGACAAAAATGGTTTTTGTGTAAAGCTCTTGGCACATGAATGGCCATAAATACTATAATTAATTTAATCTTTAAGTTTTAATATGAGTTTATAATTCTCAGCTTTAAAAGGTTTGCACCGTACTTTTACAATGATCATACGCAGTCAAGTGACTGCTTCGTAAACTTCTAATCTGTGTTCACAACTATAATGGATACTTCAGGCTGTATCTAACAATTCAAACAATAGCATTTTCTTAACATATTTCTACAGTACAGAGAAAACATGCTATTCTCAGGTAAAGGGGTTAGAATCCCAACACATATTTTGTGGGGACACAACTTAATCTACAATGTGAATTGTTATGCATGTATTCCTATTGTCTCTGATATCCTCTCCTATGCATTCAGCATACATAGAAGAAACAAATCCTTACTGAGTGAATGAAAGAATGATTACATAAATAAGTAACATCACATTTTAAAGGTGAGATTTGTTCATCCTGATGCATATTTATTAAAGAATAATTTTTCTGTCTTTTAGCAAAATGGAATTGTCTCCTGGCCAGCTCAGTCTAACACTACTCTCAGATGAAACAGCAGCAGCAGTAACCCCGAGCATATTTTCGGTTTCTTTTGAAGTTCAGAACTCACAAACTGTTACTGTTACATTCAGACCACATTACTTTTGCTATACTGAAGAGCACCCAGACAGCGAGGCCTAATGAAGACATCACCTACTCAGGGAATGGGAGAAATATTTTACAGTGGAATTTTATTGAAAATTCTAAAGCAGTTTCTCTTAACTCCAAGTGAAATTTGGTGCTTGGCAAAGAACTGTAAAATGTCTGAAGAGTGTGACTTGGCTCAGAAAATGATTATATTGAATTTGTATAGAAACTAGGGAGGTTTCAACATTCTCTCACTATCCATCACTGAACAGTATGCAATCTTTTTCTAAAAAAACAAGCTACTACTATCTCTCTGAAAAAAAATTCTTTCTGAACTCTAATTGCACTTATTATCAACAAGTTGGGGTTGCTACTGTGCTGTTCCTGACTCATGGCAACCTCCCATATGCAGAGCAGAACTGCACTCCGTAGGGTTTGCAAGGCTGGGATCTTCAGAAAGCAGGTCACCAGGCCTTCCTTCCAAGGTGCCTTTGGATGGGCTGCAGCAGCCAACCTTTTGATTGGTCCAGCACTTAACCATCTGTGTCACCCAGGAACTCCTCAACAACTAATACCTAGTTACTTTAGGTACCTTAAGTGCATAACCTAGACCATAAAGTCATTAAAGAAAGACAGCATGACATGTTGGACTTTCTCTTCCAAGCCTTCTATTTCTTTCGGTATGATATTATAAAATGCCCATACATTGTAGGTCCTGAGCAAGTATTTTAGATGTTATTTAAAGGCTTTCTCTTTAGGAATATAAAATACAAATCAACAAAACAATGTAGAGAGTACAAAGAAATTACAACAACAAAAAAAAAAAAAGAAAGAGAAAGTATGGTAAATATAATAAATGGAGTGTTTAACATTCAAAAAGGAAAATAATTGATGAACAATAAAGGGAGGGCATGACATCCATAAAGAAAGTGAGAATGTCCTGGTTGTACCATTATTCAAGTTGGAGAGTAAGACGAGTTATTTGTCTGGAAATATATTGAACATTATAGTTTTCTTATGATTTCACCTAATTCATACTTGGTGATGTGAACAAATCAGCAATAAATCCTTGTTTACAAGAACAAACGGATCTCTTCTGACATCACAGAGCATCAATTAGTTTAAGATGTTCTATTCAGCAACTGAGCCAATACATTTTACTAACAATGTTTAATTCAATACCATTTTTCTTGCTTCTCCAAACCTTCAAACAGGAACAACTTACATAAAGTCCAGAAAGAGCACCCAGGATCAAACAAATTTAGTATCACCTTCAGCCTGGAAGACTGCATAGCCACTTCCTCTCCACCCCTGTGATTAATTAGCTGATTCTCTGGCTGTGGACTAGGCATATTAAACACAAGCAAGTTTCCCTTTCTAAATCACTTTCTCAGGCCAGGTACCCTGTTGACCTTCCTCCCACTAAGGCTCTCAGCATACTGTACAGTACTGTAATTGCCAAGTTTCTTCAGCATATTTCCGAACAGATTATAAATTCCTCCAGCAGGGGACTACACATTGCCTGGAACATAGTGGAAACTCAATCAATATTTATTGAATGAATCAATGCCTTTCATCTAAAAGCTGCACAGTAAAACCTGGTCATAACCCTCTGCCATCGAGTCGATTCCAATTCCTAGTGACCCTCAAAGACAGAGCCAAACTGCCTCATAGGGTTTCCAAGGCCGTAAGTCTTTACAGAAGCAGACTGACTCATCTTTCTCCCACAGAGCAGCTGGTGCATCTGAATCCGCCTTTTGGCTATCAGCCGAATGCTTTAACTACTGTGCCACCAGGGCTCCTTAAACTAGTTATATTGTTGCTATGTGCCGTCAAGTCAGACCTAACTCATAGTGACCCCTCCTTGGGTTTCCAAGGCAGTATCACTACAGAAGTAGATTGCCCAACCTTCCTTCTGAGGAGTGGCTGGTGGGTTTGAACCACCAGCCTTCTGGTTAGCAGTCAAGTGCCTTAGGCACTACGCTACCAGAGCTCCCTAACCTAGTTATAAGTAGGGCCTAAACATTTATTAAGGAGCTCTGGTGGTATGGTGGTTAAGGCATTTGGCTGCTAACCAGAAGATTGTTGGTGCAAATCTACCAGCTGCTCTGAGAGAGGAAGACAAAGCAATCTACTTCCGTAAAGATTTATCGCCTTGGAAACCCAATGGAGGTTGCTAGGAGCCAGAACTGACTCAATGATAGTGAGTTGAGTTTGCTTGTTTTGTTTTTTTTTTTTTAATCATTTAGTACATAAATGGAGAAAACAAATAAAATCTAAAACTTTCATATACGTTTAAATATCAAATCGTAAGACAGAATCTTTCCTAAACAATGCTTTTACAGTAGTCCCTGTTCAAATATAATGATTGGAACATTCATTACTCAAATGTTTCAACAAAATGTATAGTTTTCTAACAGGTCCTAAACTAAATCTCTATGTTTAAAAAAAAAAAAAAAATCTGTTTTCATTTAAAAGCAAGAAAGCATATGAAACCACTACATTCTATTTTCTTACATTTCTATCATTTAAAAACAGCTGAACTGATTTTTCCTTTTTAAAAAAAATTTACTAGTTGGTAATTAAATTCTGAAAATAGAGATTCAAGCCATGGAAAATTGACTCCAACTAAACCATAGCATAGCTCCTATAAAAATACGATTTTTCTGTTGCAGTTATTTAATTTGGCTCACAGGTTAGTGTAAGAATATCTTAAAATTTTTAAACATATTACAATTTTACTCACTTCAAAGCCTCCTCAAATTTATGAATTTTCTTTTGAGCATCTTCTTTTTCTTTATCAAGTTCAGTCTGCAAGTCATGAACCTGCCATGACAGACACATTCAATTTACTAGAGACAAGTAAAATGTACTCAAAGGAGAAATACAAACAATGAAACCAAAATCTTACATCCATTTTTAATAGAAAATTAGCTTGAGATATTTCAAGATAGAGACATGGTTCATCATAACCATTACCCTGGAATGACTGCAGTATTACCAAGTTTCTGCTCAAAGTTAGTAACAGATTGACTATACCTGCATGTGGCTCCTCTGTAAAATACAATACGTAAGAAATTGAAAAAGGGAGCAATTACTGTTGAACAAATTTTTAATTATATGCAATCCAAGGGTGTCTCAACAGATTCAAGGGTAAAGTAACTGATGTTATCGTATATTCCTCAAAACACGCAGGAACTATGATGAGACAATCCTCTGTCCCACTCATGGGAGGAACCATCCAGTCTTTGATTGAGTTTGGGAGAAAACTGCCCCCTCGTCGCCCCTGAGGAGTGTTTTTCCTAAATGAGTAAGTAGTACGACAACACCAATAATGAGAGCTAAATCAGTTTGTCTTTACAGAAAGTACCTCGTTCACAAATGTATACAAGCTTACCCATATGCATATTTTAAACTTCTTACAAAAGGAAAAGGAAACTGCTACTAATGGAGGGAAAAGAAGGCATCCATGGTTCCACAAACAGGGCAACTGAGAACGGACAACCTAGCTGGTAGATAAGAAAGCTCATGGTGCACAGTTGGGGAGGAACACAGACTGGCTGGTGGCAATACAGTGAAGGCTGAAGGTGCAAGTGGTGGGGTGGGGGTCGGGGAAAGAGTGACAAGAGAGCAACAGAACACACATATACTGTGACACACTGTGTCAAATACCAAGCTATGCTAGCCAGAAATACCTGCACTCATTTGTATTACTTTGGATGGGGACTTTTTTTTACCTTTTCCTTTTATAATTCTCTCACAATTTTTTCCTTTGGTATTTCAGTTAAAAAAAAAAAAAAAAGAATGATAATAATAATGACAATCAACTGTCCGCTTGTAAACCCTAAGAGCAGAGAGAAAAACCTCCATGAGAACATCAGGAGGCTGACCCTTGCTGCTGTGGTGGCACATACCCAGGTGAGCAGAATCGCAGGCTGGTGGAGAGGACAGGCCAGCAGGAGAATCAGGAGACCAGGATGCCTCTTAGTGTATATTTTAAATGGTAAATTTAGAGTATTTCATAAATATGCTTTTCCTATTAGAAAGAGTGAAAACAAGTATTTGCCACTGCATTTATTTTACTGGACATGGGGAGGAGGACAGGAAAGTATATTGTTCAAAAATTCACCAGGTTCAAGAGTGCAACTCTGTTATTTATCTCGGATCTCTAGTGTGAACTACAGTGTTTGGCACGTAGTAGGTATGTTAAATTGGAGTAAAAACATTATTAAAGCAATAGATGCACCAGTGCAACACACTAAACACAAAGCTAGGCAGCCAGTGTCAAGTTGACTCTGACACAACAGAAGGAAATGTTGCCCAATCCTGAATCATCCTCACGAGTGTCAGTATGTTCAAGTCCATCATTGCAGCTACAATGCTAGCCTGTCTCATCGAGAGCCTCCCTGGTCCTGGCTGGCCTTCTACTTCACCAACTAGGATGTCCTCCTCCAGCAAGTGATCCCTCCTAATGGCATGTCCAAAGCAAGCGAGTCATTTCTAAAGATCACTGTCCATTAAAAAGACCAGCTATCCAAAGACTTCTCCAAAAGAGTCAAAAGAGAACCTACAGATTGGGAAAAAATATTTGGTAATAACATATCTGACAAGGGACTTATCTCTAGAATTTAT